TGTAACCCAGAGATGCCAGTCGGACCTTCTGACCTAAAGAACAACTAAAACATTAATGCTGTTAACCAGGTTACGGGGCTACCCTCCTAGAGGAGGAACTGGCAGAAGGCAGCAGAAACTCTCAGCAGTTGCTACTTCCCAATCCCTGCCTGCTCCATTCAGACAAACAATTGGGCAGCAGCAGCGACAAACAGACCGCTCAGGGTGAGATACTTGAATCAGATCCAGGTTTGCTCTTACTCTGCCTCCAGAAACCTCTCACAGGCTTGAACTCCCCCAATTTTAATGCAAATCTTCCAGAATATTACAGAATATTCCTTACAGAAGTTTTGGTCTCATATCACCCACCTTGTCTGTGAAAAAAATTGCTACCCCAGTTCAAGAAAGAGCACTTTTAACTGTTTGTAATGAAGTCCAAATGGTCATATAATACGTATTTGAAATAGACGTAGCTGAGTACATACAAGCAAGTAAATCAAGAGGCAACAGATGCAATAATCCATTGATAGCAGTCTACTTAAAAACAGCTTTGGCTAGGCAGTTTTTCCTTTTTCCTCCTGGAGTCCTACCTCTGCATCACCCAGCAAATCTTACTCAACAAACTTGCACCAATTCCATACCTTGCAAACACCTACAAAACATTTTTGATGTATCCAATTTACTTGCAACCTCAACACACAAGAAGGCATTCTCTAGTAGCTACTCCAATTATCCTGCTTAAGAAAAATAATCCACAGATCTCTTCTGGTCCGAGTCTAACTTCATTTTTTTATTACCTTGCTTGCTTTTCATTTCTGTACTACTCTATAGATTAGCCCACAACAGAGCATCAGCCACTATAGCAAATGCTAAAGAAACAAACACAGAAACACAGCATTTAGCAACAAAAGCTTTTCTGCCAAAACAGTCAGGGTTATCTGCCCAAGTATTTTACTTGCAGGCAAGCTTTTGTCAGCCTGTTAGCTTACAGACTTTGATTAACTTTTGTCAATTAGAAGGCACATTTTCCCCCACTGACACATACCCAAGCCCACTGTTATCTAATACAGCCAGATCAGCACCTCTCAGCCCCAAATCTCTCTACTACTAAAAGCCTCCCCAAAAGAATACTTTTGGCCCTTCTGAAAACACATTTATGCAATTAAACTGCTGCAAACAGTGTCGGTATAGGAAAACATCTGGCTGACATCACCATATAGCTGACATCAAGGAAGATCAAGAACATTTTGAGCTGCATGACAAAGTCTTCTGTAACATACTCTGCTGGCGAGGAAGGAAAAGTACTGCAATCTGAGCATGAATTGAGTAAATCCTTTCTCCAACGGGAATGCAGCAATGGGGCCAGGGGCTTCTCCTCTGCCAAGTGCCATACACCTCAGAACAGTCACAGAGAACACTCCCAGAATGGCAGCCCGAAATGCACTGCAGGGATTGATCCACTCTGCTCTTGAGTACAAGAGCTTTGAGCCTAAAATTTAGGCATTTATGTAAGTACATACCATGCATGGCAGGCAAGTAACTACGACTGACTGCAGCACCATGGATTAAGAAACAAGGTCAACAGATTAACTTTTATTACCTATTCATGAACCAAACCACGTTCCTACATGGCGAGGACCTGAGGATACCATTAATCTTTAACCAAATGCTTCCAACCAGTCCGAATCAAACAAATCTGCTGACTAGCTCACACTTGAGCTCGCATCCTTTAGAAGCCCCTCACAGCCTTTACTGAAACTAGATGACCACCTACCTTCAGCATGGTGAAGGGAGGCCAACAAAATCAACAGAATCATCCTGCAGAGACATTCTGAAGGTGGCTTCAACAGCCAGGGCACACACTGCTCAACTTTTTGTATTCCCTCATGACTACCAGGTTACTGCAGAAAGGTCATTTCAATATCTAAGCGCATTTGCCGCTCCAAGTGGTGTGACAAGGGTCAGCAGAAGAAGGCCATGACAGAAGGCTGACACAGGCAGCCATTAAGCCATGCACTTACCTGGGCCAAGCACTGAAGCACCACCTCTACATACGAGTAATACCTGCCTTCAAAACAGTGTAAATACAGGACACCTGGATCAGAACACATTCATAGTGCAAGATGGTAATTTTCCTGCAGATCACGTTGTCAGCAGCAACGAGGCAGCTTGCTTTTTTGTAACTTAAGGATAACTTGCAGCATGCCAAAGATTTTGATTTTTTTTTTTCTTAAACTCACAGGTTTTTGAGTTATATTCAAACCACAACCCAAACAAGAAATATTACAGATACTTGCAACAATTTTAACTTCCACTGGCAAACAGCATGGCCACAAAGAACACTCCACAACACTACCATATTGCTCCAGAGTGCCCCCAGCAGAACCTCAGCAGCACAGTGAAGGAGCCCGAATGGAAATCCACCCACCAAACTGCCTCAGGCCTCCAGGAAAACAAAGGACCACTTCAGCTTTGCTCAGCTGGCAATTTGTGGGCACCCAGCACTGCACAGAACCAGATCGAAACTGCTGTTTCGCTTTCCTCACCACCAGGCCTTCCATCCAGGCAGCCTAACTGCACCTGATTAGGGACACAATGTTCATTTCAGTAGGACCTGGAGACCGCTGTAGGAGGGTAAGGTTCACTGGCAACTCCTGTAACCAGTAGATAGAAAGGAAACAGAAACTAGATCAGATGGAGACATGCTTACTTTTTTTCCACTGAAACTATCTCAGCAGTATTCAGCAGAGCTTGACCTACTTCCTACACCATCTCTTTGCTGTCACTTCCTTTGACAGTCTGTCAGCACACTTGTGAATCTGAAGATTAAGGAATGAATGTCTGGAAGGAAAAGAGCTGAGGACTTCTTCCTTTTAATGCCACCTACAGTCAAAACTTCTATGGCCTAATCAGCAAGACATGCAGTGACCAGCCTAGCAACAAGTACTTTCAATTATTAGCATCCTTCAAGAGCTCCAAACCAACTGCCCAACTTAGCTTACAAGCATGCCCTTAAAGACGACTTTGTTTTTCATGAAATACCCTTTTTCTTCTTCCTTTAGCTCACAGCACAGATCAGGATCTACAAACATTTCAGGTTCTCTGTCCTCCTGTATTCCATAGATCCTGTCTAAGAAGATATTATATACAAAAATACACTTCTAATTAGTTCCTTACAAATTAATAACAATTTAAATATCACCAGCTACAAGCAGATGATGCTCTACTTGGCACCTACAACCACACAGTCATTAGCCATAAATCCCAAAGTGAAATAATGCTGTTTTCTCTACTTAGTTTATTAATATAAACCAATACCAAAACACAAAGTGGTTATAACACAAATTTTACACCAACACAAATATTTATACTCTTTTTTTTTTAATTGAAATACTAGCAGTTGAAATTTCAATTTCAGACAAAAAAAAAAATAAAAAAAAATAGCATGACAGCTTGCCACACCAAGAAACACATTTCATTGTTTAGTAAGAACAGAAACATTAAGTACAAGACTGCACTCAGTATAACAGAGGTGCTCCTACAAGTCCAGTTCATTAGAAACAGAAGATATTTAAGCTCAAGGCAAGCTGCGAGTGCCTAAACATAACAAAGATGTGCTCAGAAAGCTTCCTGCCCGGCCATTCACAACAAATAGAGCTTAAGAAGCAGTTAGGATACTTCGTGCCCTGTAAGGGAAAAGGGCACAAAAACGGCCTAACTTTTCCAGCTAGCTGGCTCAGTTTCCTACCACCCAGGCTTTTCCTGCAGGCAGGAGGTAGGGGAGAGCAGGAGGGGATGTCCGGTGCAGACTTGTGAACTTTGCCACCATACCACTCGCTTTGAAAGCGCTGGCCTAAGACACAAAGCCGCACAGACCGCACCGCTCATGCAAATGGAAACCCAGCCGGGAAAGCCCTCGTCTCCACTAACCCAGCTTCGCTTCTCAGCACAAAGCGACGAAAGATGCATCATCAACAGGTCACCCGGCTTCTCCTTTGTGCAATATGAAATGCTGCCCAACAGAAACCGGAAACAGCCCTCTGCCCCCAGCAGATTCCAAATGGAACAAATAAAGCCATCCCTGCCTGGATATGGAACCGAGGCTGCCCGATGCCTCCACTCACCGAGAAGCACGTTCTGAAGGCTTGGCAGTCCCGAAGAAAACAAACGAGCGGCCTTTAAAAGGCACGGCTCAACTACGAAGCAGCGCTTCGCAGAGCTCAGACAACAGCAGCTTTTGGGGAGAGGGAACGAAAACGCAACGAACAAGCAAGCCCCGGGTACAAAACACAACAGCCGCCTTTCCAACGCCCTCCGCTGCTCCCGGAGGCGGCACGCGAGCTCTTAGCTCCGTCCGAAACCGCATTCGGTGAAAGTTGCGCCGCTCACAAAGAGCCGACGGGGGAGGAGGGCAGGAGCGAGGGCTCTCAGAGCGAGCTTTCAGCCCGGCAGCTCAACGAGAGCCCGCAGCGGGGTGGGTGCAGCGCCGGGCCGGGGGGCAGCCCGCACAGCTCCTTTGTGCCGCGCGCCTCGCCGAGCCGCCAGCTCCCTTTGCTCCACTCGGGGAAAAGGGGATTACCCCAAACCCCCGAGTCCATAAAGCATCCGGAGTCTAAAGATAGCGCGATGTCGTAAAATTATTTTTAATATCTCCCCCTCCATTCCCTACCACCCCTCCCACTCTCCACCCCACATCGAGGATGGCTGGCTGCCGCTCCGTCACAAAGACACGGCGATCCGTTCGGAGACGGCGAGCGGGGAGGAAACAAAACCGCACGGGAAGCCAAGCGACCGGCACAAAGGCACGAGGGGGGGGAAAAGGGGGGAAGGGGGAAGGGAAAAAAAAAAAAGGAATTGAAGAGGGAAAGAAAAAACAACAACACAAACAAAACAAAACGGCCAAGGAGGTTGCAGCCGGCCGCCCGCAGCACAAAGCGGGGCTGGGGGCAGGCCCCGAGCGGCTCCCTACGGCCGTACGGCCGCGCGGAGGCGGGCTGCGTCGCAGCGGGCGCGGGACTTACCGCAGGAAGGCGGCAGCAGGCGGGAGAGGAGCTCGCGGCTCCCTGAGGCGGCAGGGGGGACCGCAGCGACGCGCCGAGCAGCGACGGACTGACGGACGGACTGCCTTCTGCAGGCGGAGAGCAACGCACAGCCGGGCGACACCGCCTTCACCACGCACCTCCCAGCCGCCGCTCCGCTCACCCAGACCTCTGGGTCGGCTGCCGCCGCGCGCCCGCGCACCCAACCGTCTGTGGGCGGGGCTAAAGGGGGGCGGGGTCAGGGGGCGGGGTGACGGCCCTGGAGCTCGGGGCATGCTGGGAGTTGTAGTGCCATCGTCTGGCGGTGTAAAGGGGGGTTGTGTGTAGGTGTAATATACGAATATATATAACCGTAGGTTTACAGAATCATCAAGGTTGGAAAAGGCCTCTGAGATCATCCCATCAACCCATCACCACGTCCTCCAGTTCCACATCTCCACTGTTCTTGAACACCTCCAGCAATGGTGACTCCACCACCTCCCTGGGCAGCTGTGCCACTGCGTCACTGCTCCTTTGGAGAAGAATTGTTTCCGAATACCGAACCTGAACCTCCCCTGGTGCAGCTTGAGGCCACTACATTGCTGTCACATGGGAGAAAAGGCCAACACCTATCTCCCTACACCTTCTTTTCAGGGATTTAGAGAGAGCCATAAGGTCTCCCCTGAGCCTCCCCTTCTCCAAACTGAACAATCACAGTTCCCTCAGCCACTTCCCACAACACTTGTGCTCCAGACCCTGAACGCAAACCCTGTGTCTGAGAGTGCTGCCCCAACGCTCCCTGAGCTCTGGCACTGGGGCCGTGCCCAATGGAGGCAGCCCATCACCCTCTGCAACAAAGCCTTTCCCCAACCCCCAAACCTTCTCCTGACCCAGCCCCACACCATCACCTCAAGCCCTGTCACCGTCCCCAGAGTGCAGAGCTCAGCGTTGCCCCTCCACTCCCTGTGAGGAGCTCTAGGCTTCCATTAGACCCACAGAAGTGTCAGCTCATCCACAACAAACTGGGAAAGGAGGAGGTTCTGGATGCCCTCTGTGTGCTTTGCAGCCCCTTGTCCTCCTGTGAGAGAAACTGGCGGGGTGGTGATGAGAACAGGATGAAAGAGAGCCCCGTGGAGAAGGCCAGCTGACAGCTCTGAGGGCTGCTTGGCTGATCCTGAGCGGAGGTGCGAGGTGACTCGGGCCTGAATGACAGTCACTGGGCACCGTGAGCACAACACACGGTGAGCACCGTGCTGCCGTGATCTGTCCTCCACTAGTGAGTCAGCCCACAGGCGGGTGGAAATGCTTTCAACCGTGAGTCAAAGCTGAGCTCTTCGCTGGAAGGGTTGAGCAAATCGATACACTGATGGGTCAGGTGTGTGGGCTGTGAGGTGCCCAGTGATGAGCAGCATGGGACTGCTTCAGAGGGAATCTTCACAGCCCCTTTGATGCACATGGAAACCAAGGCAGGCTAAAACTAAGCCTCTGTGCCACAAAGCCCATCTGCAAGCAGCAGACCACAGCACTGCAAAGACTAGTCCCCACTTCTTACTGCTGCTGGACCTCAGATGCATCAGTTTGTGCCATGTGCAACCACAGGTTAGCTGAAGAAACAAAGCAGCTTTTGAGATCTGTGATCCCATGGAAACACACAAAACCACAGATGTCTGTATGTCTTTGTTTACATTCAATTTAAGCAGCCAGAGCACTTTTTTTCCCCTGCCTTCCCCCCTGGCCCCCCTCCCCACCTCTCCTGCCGTATGTTATAGAAAACAACGTCATGCTTTCTGCTTGGGAGCTCTGTGCCAGAAGACCCATGGCAGCTTTCATTTAAGACACATGAACTGTGTGGTAACATGGAAATACTCCTTTCTTGGCTCTCCCTCAACATAGTGTCTGAGGCTGACATCCTCAGTAAGAAGACAAAAGGAAGGAGGCCACCATGGGCTCTGTCTAAATGTTTGTTTAGTGGTTGCTGCAGGGGGATTTTCACCTGGGCCCTCCCCAGCCACTTGTGTTGACCTCTTCCCTGAGGTCTGTTTCTGGATGCTACCAATGGTTTTTGTTTTGCTTTTGCTTTTTGGAATCCAGTTAATGGCTGTGTCTTGTTCCCAAATAATTTCAGCCAACACCAAAACCTGCTGCTTCCACCTGAAAGATGAAAGCACCTCCTACTGTTGCATGTTATTGTGTGTTTTTCAACCCTGAATTTGATTTGTTGCATCCTTGTGCTCCCACCTTGCAAAACTCCTCCTGCAGCCCCTTGATTTTTGCACGTTCCTCTGAAGTAAGTACCCATGACACTGGTGAGGAGAGGAAAAAGCCTTTCTTTGAATATTACCCAATGGAGAACATTCTGTCCTAGGCTGATGCCTGTAGACTTGAGTTACAGCAGCTTATTGCAGCGTATAAGGAATCAGAGAGCTGTGAAAGCACAGACTTGCTACCAGGAGCCAGCAAACCACCTTCCTAGCAAATGCTTTGCCCTGACCGTGCACCATCTGGGGATCTGGTGGTTCTGTTGATTCCTGCATGGCCCCAAGGGAGACACAGTGTTCCTCCATGGAAGGACAAATGTCTAATGGCCTGGTGATAGGTGGTCATAGGGCATGTTGGCTGCTTCCATGACAATAAAATGACAGCTGCTAGGAACTCAGCATCATTTTATTCCAGGCCAGTTATTGCCCTGGAATGGTTAGGAGAATGTCTGAGCTGGGGACATCTTGAAGGAAGCAGCTTTGATAGGTCACAGAAAACTTTGACAGCACTGGTACATCACCAGCTGGCCTCAGGACCAGAAAACCACTCAGGACATGCTTAATTAGTCCACGTCTCCATTGTCTTTGAGGCTTGATGATGGACCACAAAGTCCACTGATGGAACCCAACTCATCTCTCTTCCTCTGTGCAATGACCAAATTGACGCCCACTACAGCAATGCTCTCAGCCATGGAAAATGAGACATTCCCAGCAGGGAAACTAGGAGAAAACACGTTGTTTTTTTTAAAAAAAGCTTGTTGCCTAGTTGCAAGAAAAGAGGAGGAGAATTTAAACTGCCTCTTGGTTGAGCGCCCTGTGAGTCACTCGGATGCTGAGGTGTGGTATCCAGGCCTGCCAAGCGTGGCAGACCCACCCTTGCTCCCTACTTCTGCCGTGGGAGACAAACAGCTCTGTGTGGCAGGCTGTTGGCCCTGCTTTGGGTACTGTTGGTTGCCCAGGGAAGATGAGCTGCCCACCAAAAACGCCACCTGGGATGCTTTGGAATGGGGCACACGGATACGTCTGATGGGGCACTTCAAAAAGCTGCAGAAACGGCACAAGTGAAGTGTTGAGGAAGCCAAAACGGGGATTTTTCTGGCTCTGTGCTCATAGCAAAGCCAGGCTGTGACCTCGGCAAGGGCAGGAAACATAGGTGCGGTGTCCACGCCTGGATCTGGCTGCAGGAATTTTCCCTGCGTAGCAACAGTTGTTATGTAGCAATAACACTCAGCAATTTTTGAGGCACTTCAGAAATATTAATTAATCCGCATATCAGCCTCCTCAGGTAGGCAGCTAGATATTTTCACCTGTGCTTTATGGCTTGGGAAGGGGAGAGGATGAACTGAAGTGACGTCATGGCAGGAGGCTTGAATGAGGAGAAGAGGTGCAATACAGAGGCAGTAAGGACAAATCAACAGAAGCTCCACTGGAATTTCTGCTGGAGAAGTCTTTTGCCCTCTAGAAAATACGTGGGCCTGGTAGGCTTTTCTTTGCAGGGACAGAATTTGGAGGTGCAAGCTCCAGGGCTTATGATCCAGCCAGGAAAATCCTCACTGTTTGCCTCATTGTAAGGAAAACACAAAGAAATATAGCAAGCACGGCAGGAGAGCTTCAAAGGGCAACCAGGAGTAAGCCAGCAGCAGTGCACCCAGATGTGTAGGATGTGCCTAGATTTCCACCCAGTGAGGCAAACCTCCTATCAGAGGGACTTGCTGCTGCTCCTGCTGGCATTTTGCAGCTCGGCTTAATTACACTAATCACTGTGATGATGACTTCTGACATTCACCTTCATTAGCCATCGATGGCTGCGCTCAGCTGCCTCGGCACAGAGCTATCGATGCCTGCTTTAAATAACCCATGAGTAAAATCAGCAGGGAGACAGAATGTCTGGGCTCTCCCCTGGCACAGCCTGCATGGGACTGGCTGGGAATGCACGGCCAAAGCCAAAAATGCCATTTAGCCCTGACAGGAGGTGGGCATGACTTTTTGTGGGCATCTCAGAGATGAGAAAGCTCTTCTATTGGGTGGGCATCCTCAAACGCAGCGTTTCTTCTTGATGGCATCGGTTTGCAAATTAATGCCTGTGATAAATCCCCTCGTGAAGAATGAATTAGCAGAGACCTGTCATTCATTAACATTACGGCATGTGATACTTGTTTAAAATGAAGGAGAACGCCTGTTAATAGCAAGGAATAAGTAAAAATCAGCAGGCTTTTTTGCTGTGAAAGTGGGATAACCTTAGGATGAGTAGAGCTGGCCAAGATCCCCTGCTTTGGTGCTATGACCGGGCAGGCACTGCTGATGCTGGCTGTGGTTGGGTAACTCTCACTGCATCTTTTGGATGCTGAGAGCTGATGGCTGCTGCTGTAAATGAAGTAACAACTTAAGGAAGAAGTAAAATGTTTCCTTGATGAATGATATGATTTATGTATTCCTGCATTTTATTTGACTTTGTATTTAGCGTTTTCCTAAATACTGAGCTGTTCTGTGAGAGTGCATGGAAATAGCCTAGCGTAACCGTGCTCTGTGTGCAAGTTATAGCCAGCAGCAGGTTCTGAGTGCTTATCTCTGCATTGAAACCCATTGCTTTGCATCAAGTTAAATTTCTTGGTGTTGGTTTTGACATGCTGTACCTACTGCATGCATTGGCCAGCTTCTCTGCTGTGCATCTTTGTGCTGCAATGTGCAGTATACTCTCAGCGATGCAATGCATTTTTGCACTCCTGCCAAGGAGAATGCTGTCGCTTCAAAGCCACTGTGTGTGGTCAAGAGGTGGGAAGATTCTGAAGGATGCTTCTTCCCAGGAAAGGCATTCCCTGCCTCTTTCCTACTT